AAGAAGGGTGTAGGCCTGAAACGTCAGCCTTCCTGCTCCTCTGATGCTGCTTGGCCTGCTGTGTTCATCCAGCTCTACACCTTGTTATCTCTAGGTCACTAGCAGCGCCTGGATTTTTCCTTCGAGGGCACCTGGGGAGAAACATCCAAGGACTACGTCCACATTCTTTCCCTGTTATTAGTACGTCATCCTTGTAAAATGTTCTGAATGGTCCGCTGGAACAGGGCACAAGCTGATGATACCCCGCATGGCAGTCTTGTGTATTGATACAAACCCTTAGGGGTATAAATTATAGGGTAATTCTGGGACTCCTCATCCAGTTGCAATTGCAGATAGACGTGGCTCATGTCCAGCTTTGTAAAGGACAGTGTCCCCCCAGCCCTTGCCAACATTGTGTACAAGCCCTCAAATTGAGGGATTGGGTATTTATCCAGCTGCGAGAAGCGGTTTACTGTTTGCCTAAAATCCCCACAAAGCATACCGAGCCATCAGGCTTCACAATCGGTACAACCGGTGCTGCCCATTCTGCAAACTGCACTGGTTTGATGATTCCTTCGCTCTCCACCCTCCTGATTTCTGCCTCTACTCTTGCCCGCAAGGGAAATGGCACTGGGTGGGCCTGGAAAATTCTCAGAATTGCTTCAACGTGCAGGCCGACCTTGACTCCCGTGATAGCCCCGAGACCTTCCTGCAAAATGTTTAATTAAGACCTCGCTCAGGCAGCCATTGGCTAATCGGAAAATGTTGAGGTGAATCTTTCTCGACCAGTTTCACCCCAACAAGCTTCTCACTACCATCAGTGGTAACTGAACCAGCTGCTTCTCCTAAGAGATCAGAACCAAAGGTGTACCCTTAATCTGTAAAGGTTCCCCGCTGTATGTTATAGAGTCTTACAGCACGCAAACTGACCCTTCGGCCCAACCAGTCTGTGCTGACCATAATCCCAAACTAAACTAGTCCCATCTGCCTGCTCCTGGCCCATATCCCTCCAAACGTTTCCTATTCATGTCCTTATCCAAATGTCTTACAGTGACGGAGCTGTACAGCGATCGCTCAAACAGGCGCACGGGGATGGAGCTCCATGAGAACTGGGGGACTATTTAACCAGATGGTTTGGTGTGGTTTGGATGTTGCTGGATTTAAAATTGGATTTATTAACATTCTCTCTCTCCCAAACCCCCACCCTCCACTGACCTGTCTCTCTATCTCTCTCTCTCTCTCCCCATCTCTCTCTCTCTCCCCGCCACCGCCATTGACCCTATCTCTCTCTCTCTCTCTCTCACCGCCTCTCTCTCTCTCTCCCTCCACACTGACCCCGTCTCTCTCTTTCTCTCTCTCTCCCGTCTCCCTGTCTCACTCTGTCTCTCTCACACCCTCTCTCTCTCTCCCCATCTCTCTCTCTCTGTCCCCATCTCTCTCTCTGTTGCTCTCTCTCTCTCCCTGTGTCTCTCTCACCCTCTCTCTCTCTCTCTCTCTCCCCCCACCGTCTCTCTCTCTCCCCCCGTCTCTCTCTCCCTGTCTCTCTCTCGCTGTCTCTCCCTCTCCCCGGATGTCCCCCAGGTGAGGTGTGTGACGCGGGGGCAGCAAGCCTGATGTCAGTTTTCACGGAGAAGGCCTATATCCGTAAGGATCCCCTGAACCTTGTGGTGGGCCGCGACCGTTACCAGGTCAACAACATATTTGATGGGAAAATGGATGTCCGGCCGATCCAGGAGATCCTCAAAGAGGCCGAGGGCAGGGTCGGCGACGAGGTCAACTACAGCGTCACATCAGCCAACTGCGAGCACTTTGTGACCGACCTCCGTTACGGTGTGGCCCGGTCTGGCCAGGTTGGTAGGCCCCTTGCACCCACTGCCTGCATTTACGTAGCGACCCGAAGGGACTTCCCCAGCCCAGGGTGCCAGGGCAGATGATCAGATCACTCCCGTCGGGTGCAAGAGGAGGGTTCCAAAGGCAAGAGTGAGACGGTACCAATCCAGGAGGCGGCTCTACACCTGGTCAGCATGGTCAGGGTGTGCCGAAGGGCCTGTTTCCACGCTGTCTATCTCACTCCCCCACCCCCAACCCCGCCACACCCCCCCATCACTCCTGACCCGAGCGACATAGCTCCTGTCTTTGCAATTACCAGGGAAACCCGGGGACAGCAACATTCCACCCCCCCACCCCCACAGAGAGGCCTCTGGGAATTCAGGAAAAACCCTCTTCACTCACTGAATGGGGGCAATGGGCGCGTTGGTGTAGAGGGAGCTTTACCCTGTATCTAACCCCGTGCTGTCCCTGTCCCTGGGAGTGTTTGATGGGGGGCAGTGTAGAGGGAGCTTTACTCTGTATCTAACCCTGTGCTGTCCCTGTCCCTGGGAGTGTTTGATGGGGGG